GATCATCATTATCAATTAAAATCATAACATCATTGTCATCTCAGTAATGCCACGACCACCATCACCGTCATAATTATCATCATCGACCAATCAATCATCAGCAGCATCATCATCATCAACGATGATCATTAACAACACCAGCATCATCCAATCAATCATAATTAATCAACAACTAATCGTCAATGACCATCGTCACAGCAGGGCCGCCACCACCAACTAATCATCACCACCGTCAAACTCATCGTCATTATTGTCCCTGCTAGGGTTGGTAAAGTGAGTACCACGTATTAAAATCTGTACCGCTTTGTGGATGAAGACAGTGGCTAAGCTATCGGAAGACTGGCCCCCGTCATAGGAACGTGGAATAAACAGCACCAGCTTAAGACTGCCGACAGATTTGAACGCTGCCCAGCGCGATTTGACGGCGCGATTTGACACGCTGTCAGTGGACGTGGATTGATTGTCCATTACCTAACCACGTGGGAGCCAGTGAGATTCATTATCGCGTTTGCACGGGGGGGGGCAGGGGACCGGTAATTATGTAATGGGTAGAGCCGCAGCCCTGCAACTGCTTGCTCACGTCATTGCTGGCGGAAGAAGGGCCTCCTCTTCCCACGCTGGACAAACGTCTCGGAAAGGTGGGGAGTACCCACACTTTACCCCACCACGTGGGACATGCGGCATGCCAATCAAGCGACCGCAAGCGAGATCAGCAGGTGGCTTTTGCCTTCGTAGGCTGATAATCATCACGCGCGAAAAGTGCCCCTGTGGTTTCGGGAGCGGGGACTCTAACGGTGGTGTTCCGTTCAGAGTGGCTGGAGATGTACAATTAACCAAGGGGCTCGGTGAGAGACATAACAAGACGCCGAGATGTCACTTCACCATTCCTATTCGTTCACAAGGAGCAGGCGACTTGTGCTGTTTGTTTTGGGGCGCCGCGGTGGCTAGGAGATGTTAACTACCTCGCCTGGTATGCAGGAGGTCGTGGGTTCTATCCCGACCTTAACGCCTGCAGTATATATGGAGTCTGCGTCTCTCCCTCTCCCCGTGGTCGCATGGATTTTTCTCCGGGTTTCCCCTCCACATTTAGAGACACCCATTGAGAGTATTTGACTGCAATAAAATGTCCACATGATGAGCCACTCTGTTGGGCTGTCATTTGTGGCCAGGTCGCTCGCTCCTGACAAAGAGCTATAACAGCTCGGTGGGCTTCACCTGGTTAAATTAAAATTTTAAAAATGTTTACACATCCCATGGGGCACACGGTCTCCTATCCTCCGAGATTGCACAATTTCAGCTGCATTGGGTGAACACACAAGCGAACTGGAGTTATACTGTCGTGTTGTAATGTCGAGTTATAATGTGTTATAATGTTGAGTTATAATGTTGCGTTGTGCGGGGGGGGGGGGGGGGGGGGGGGGGGGGGGGGGGGGGGGGGGGGGGGGGTGCAATTGGCCGTACGTTTGGCTACGTACGGTGCGAAAGAAGTCCCACATACATAGGCACGCCGTAGGGAGAAAGTGGAATTAGCGAGCGCCTATTAGGGGCCGTCAATAAATGACGTCACGCGATTTTTGACGATTTTTGCCCCCCCCCCCCTCGTCACATGGCGTCACAAAAAGTCAGACCCCCCTCAAATGACGTCACAAAGCTCTGCCCCCCCCCCCCCCCCAAAATGCTTCAAATCGCTTTAAACTATTGTCATTGTAGTGCGTATTTAATGTGGCGCTGCACTCTGATGTTGTAGGAGAAAACATTTATTAAAAAGTATACTTAATTATGTAGAACGTATTGTCTAGATTTATTTAAAGTTGCGCATTTTGATGTGACGTCACATCTCTCCCCCCCTCGTCACACATCGTCACAAATGCCTGACCCCCCCTACCCCCCCTTAGGTGCGTGACGTCATATATGGACGGCCCCTTAAGGCCCGGCCGACGCATGGTGGCCTGGTGTGGCCAGCACCGCGCCTGTCGACGTGCTGTCTCCCCAAGTGCTGACGTCTGCACACTGCAGCAGGTATTCACTTAAGGCTGAGTAGACCTAGGGGAGGACACGAAGACGCGTCCTGGTATCGCTTGCACGCTGATGCTGTACGTGGCGTGGAGTCAAGCACAGGTGGTTGGGCATTGTGAGAGCAGTGCGCTAACCACTGCGCCACCGCTCCCAATGTGCACACTTGCATATAACCGTAACATGCAAAGAAAAAAAAACAAAGATCCCCCGTATAGCCTTAAGAGACTGTAGGGGCAAGTGCTGTTAGCGAGCAGCACCTATGAAGGGCCGGGCACGGCACAAGAGGGGGTGGCCAACACCACGCCCGGCCGCCTTTGTCTCCCCACGTGGCGATGTTTACACACCGCACCAGGTACTCAATGAATGCTGAGTCGATCTTGGAGAGGCTCAAGACCGGTTCGACATTTTCGCTGTCACTGTTGTTGGTCGTGAGCGGGAATCGAACTCGGGTGGCCGTGGTCGTAGAGCAGTGCCCTAACCACTGCGCCACCGCTCCCCACACACACAACCATAACACAAGCACGTACACACACACACACATGGGCACACCAACAATGAACACGAAGCGTCAACACGGAATCACCAAACAAAGACAAGGATCCCCCGTATAGCCTTAACAGACTATTGGGGGCAAGTGCTAAGCGAGCAGCGATGACGGCATCACCAGCGGCACCATCATCATCGGCATCGTCAGCCTGCACTGCCATCAGCACCAGCGTCATCAACACCAACGCTACCATCATCATCATCAGCACTAGCAGCACCAGCATGCACCACTACCCAGCATCGTCAGCTGCATGACCATCACACTCACCATCACATCACTAGCAACATCACAAACACACTATCACATTCACCATCATCGCATTCACCAGCAGCACCACTGCCACCACATTCACCAGCAGCACCATCACTAACACCATCACGTTCACCAGCAGCACCATCACTAACACCATCACGTTCACCAGCAGCACCCATCACTAACACCATCACGTTCACCAGCAGCACCATCACTAACACCATCACGTTCACCAGCAGCACCATCACTAACACCATTACGTTCACCAGCAGCACCATCACTAACACCATCACATTCACCAGCAGCACTAGCACCATCATTAACACCATCACGTTCACCAGCATCACCATCACGAACACCATCACGTTCACCAGCAGCACCATCACGAACACCATCACGTTCACCAGCATCTCCATCACTAACACCATCACGTTCACCAGCATCACCATCACTAACACCATCACATTCACCAGCAGCACCATCACTAACACCATCACATTCACCAGCAGCACCATCACGAACACCATCACGAACACCATCACTAACACCATCACTAACACCATCACTAACACCATCACTAGCACCATCACTAACACCATCACTAGCACCATCACTAACACCATCACGAACACCATCACTAACACCATCACTAACACCATCACGAACACCATCACTAGCACCATCACTAGCACCATCACTAACACCATCACTAGCACCATCACTAACACCATCACGAACACCATCACTAACACCATCACTAGCACCATCACTAACACCATCACTAACACCATCACGTTCACCATCACTAACACCATCACTAGCACCATCACTAACACCATCACTAGCACCATCACTAACACCATCACTAACACCATCACTAGCACCATCACTAACACCATCACTAACACCATCACTAGCACCATCACTAGCACCATCACTAACACCATCACTAACACCATCACTAACACCATCACTAACACCATCACTAACAACACCATCACTAACACCATCACTAGCACCATCACTAGCACCATCACTAACACCATCACTAACACCATCACTAACAACACCATCACTAACACCATCACTAGCACCATCACTAGCACCATCACTAGCACCATCACTAGCACCATCACTAACACCATCACTAACACCATCACTAACACCATCACTAGCACCATCACTAACACCATCACTAACACCATCACTAACACCATCACTAACACCATCACTAACACCATCACTAACACCATCACTAGCACCATCACTAACACCATCACTAACACCATCACTAACACCATCACTAACACCATCACTAGCACCATCACTAACAACACCATCACTAACACCATCACTAGCACCATCACTAGCACCATCACTAACACCATCACTAACACCATCACTAGCACCATCACTAACAACACCATCACTAACACCATCACTAACACCATCACTAGCACCATCACTAGCACCATCACTAACACCATCACTAACACCATCACTAACACCATCACTAGCACCATCACTAACACCATCACTAACACCATCACTAGCACCATCACTAACACCATCACTAACAACACCATCACTAGCACCATCACTAACACCATCACTAACACCATCACTAACACCATCACTAACAACACTATCACTAACACCATCACTAGCACCATCACTAGCACCATCACTAACACCATCACTAACACCATCACTAGCACCATCACTATCACCATCACTAACACCATCACTAACACCATCACTAACACCATCACTAGCACCATCACTAGCACCATCACTAACACCATCACTAACACCATCACTAACACCATCACTAACACCATCACTAGCACCATCACTAACAACACCATCACTAACACCATCACTAGCACCATCACTAGCACCATCACTAACAACACCATCACTAACACCATCACTAGCACCATCACTAGCACCATCACTAACAACACCATCACTAACACCATCACTAACACCATCACTAGCACCATCACTAGCACCATCACTAACAACACCATCACTAACACCATCACTAACACCATCACTAACACCATCACTAGCACCATCACTAACAACACCATCACTAACACCATCACTAGCACCATCACTAGCACCATCACTAACAACACTATCACTAACACCATCACGTGTGCATCGAGGCGTCTCTCAC